ATAACTTCATTAATTGACAAAAAATTCTTTGGTTTTATTCATACACATAGTTCTATTTACTACAGTGAAAAGAGGTTTGAACTCGACATCTTACAGAGTTTCGCCATCAAGAGTGATTGGATTGCTGTTCTTCGCTTCGAATTTGAGGACCTTGGTCTTCCCCTTGAGTATGTTGAGGCCTACTGATGCAGAGACAGATTGCTGCTACACTGGCTGTCTTTATCTTCATCCGTTTGTGTGTATGGGATAGGAGTACTAGGTCATCTGCGAAGTCCAAATCGTCTAATTGATCCTGAGCTGTCCATTGTATTCTGTGTTTTCCCTCAGATGTCGAGGTCTTAATCATCCAGTCGACCACCAGAAGAAAGAGGGAGGTAGGGAGGGAGTAGATAGCTTTGTCTGTCTCCTGTCCTTACTTGGAATGCATCTGTCAGCTGTCCTCCATGTACATTGTTCGGACATTCCATGTACCTATAAAAATTGTTGCTCTGGTTATTAGAAGTGGCATCGGCATCGTGGCTTCCGAAGGAACTCGGCTTTCGCCATGAAGCGTCATAATTCTTCTAAATGAAGACCTTCTAACTTCCAGGGCAGAGTTAAAATGGTTTGAATTATTTTTTCTGGTAAGTGTTTTTTTAGCGAGTTAGCTTTCTGCGGGATGGGGACGCTAACCCCATGCCCAACTCTCCTCCTTTGCCCGGGCTTGGGATCGGCAGTAATTCTAGAAGAGCTACAGGCGGAGTTAAGTGATTAAGATGGTAAAAAGTATTTCAAATGAATGCAGTGTAATATGTCTTATCATTTAAATACTTACTTGTTATATGTGGTCGTCGCTGATTGTTGTGTCAGAAAAGCTTAACACTTATACTCGAAACGAGGGACCTTGGCAGTTCCCACCATGCGAAAGTAAGAACACAAGACTGGTATAAGTAATGATTTATTAACTCCAAAACACTATGACGACGACAACCCTAGTCGAAAATACACTCATGTAAATATTAATTGCACACACACAGTGATTAACAATTAGGATGAAATCACATGTATAAAAAGTACTTAGAGTTATGACAAATCAAATACTGAGCATAATACATGTCAATGGAACACAAGAATATCGTATATTATACAGAATAAAATATCATACAAGAAAACAAATCAAATACTACACTGAATAGTCATCACATTGAATAAAAACGGAAGTAATCTTGAACAAAACTCATAATGAGTAAACCAATCGAATTTTGACTTCTTCCATCATATCACAGTGCAAGATGAAAAATTCTAGAAGCCGTGACCAGTGGAGCTAATCTGTGTCGGGTAGAAACAGGTGTCTACGTCAGTACAATGGAAGATGGTCGCGCAACTTCGTGGATTGGTTGAGGTTAGACATTAACACCATTGGATGCCGGCTCAGTGGTCCAGTAGATTAGGCGTTCGCGCGCGAGACTGAAGGCCCTGGGTTCGAATCCTGCGAGCGGGATCGTGGACGCGCACTGCTGAGGAGTCTCACAATAGGACGAGACGGCCGTCCAGTGCCTCCAGGTTTTCAATGGTGGTCTAACATCAATCGGTCCATGATCTCAATAAAAAACTTAACAATCCCCACAACCTCTAAACTGATAACATTATAATAGTAGCGAAAGCTCCTAGAGCTAAAGATTTCATAATAATAGTGTGAGAACGGAATAGAATTAAATGCAGTTGTTTGAATAAACAACAGAAGTATGTTGGGTAATCAGGCTTACTCTTTCTTCTGAGTCCAGATAGTCTTAGCCTTATATGAAATACTCAAGTTATTTGCCTTACCTTATATTTCGAAAAGCCTTTCTGAATTTTTTGACTCTGAATATCAATTTAACGGTTAGTAAATGTAGGACATACTGTTAGTATCGATTTGATTAGCAGATTTCCGAGTTTTTGTGTGCTTTAAGTGATCTTTGGCAGGAGTTGAGATTTCACAAGAAGATTCTACAATCTAGAAAGCATCATAGTTGGCGAAACCTATTTAGTAGACGTAATTATTTGTGAAGAGTAATGTAGTTTATATAAGTACAGTTTTAATGTACGTTAGATATTAAGGTTGAAATAAATGTTTGAATTAGGATAAAAAATCATAAGAAGTAGAACAAAACATAAAATATGTGTTTAAACATTAACTTGTGATGGTTCAGATTATCCTGTTTTAGAGATTTGGCTGACTTTTGGTCAGTCTTACTTGACATGCGAGCATTCACGATATTAAAACTATTTCACAAATTTTATGTAGAATAGAAACAATTGGATCCAGGAATCAAGCTTCGTCGTATCTAAGACTCGTCAGTTTAATATACATCTGTCCCAATATTGATGTTAAGATAATTGAAATATTTATCATTAATGATGTCGTTGTTTTACATAAGTACTGATAAGAATACAATCTTTCTTGGTTTTCTTATTGAATCCTTCAACAAGATGGTATGCTGAGGAGATATGTGGTAATCTTTGGATTGAAGTACTGATAAAGTGAGTAAGCAGAAATTAAATGATACACTATGTTTTACATATGTTGTACACTACGAAGTGATTGATATAATGAATTGCTACCAGAAAAAATGTTATCACCTACTTAAAATGCAGAAGTGAGTATTGTAGAACTATTTCACAAATCATAAATAAAATTTATTTTAGTCTTTATTCCGAATAACAGTGGAGGATTCTCAGTGACACTATACAACGCAGTAACAACTTCACAAGTAATTTCAGTTTAACGTCTTACAATTCAAAGCATGTGCGTAGAACGTTATCCAGTGGCGTTCATCTTCATTTACAGAATTTGGAATCGCGTCTTGTTTTTCTTAACAACATCCCATAACAGCAATGTACCGACCACTGTGGTAGTTTTAGTCAAGTTCGATAGTAATTATACTTGACGTAGACTATAAATATCGTTTTTGATAACTTTCACTGTAACCACCTGTAACTGAAGGCTTTCGTCTGACGCAATGAAAAATGTAATTTTTGAATGTAACATTTTAAGCTTTGAAACTAAGCTAGCTAGAAGAATGTAATGTCGTAAGAAAAAGTCATTTCAGCTATTTTCATATAGGTGGATTCTGATATGTGAAACAGAAAAACAGAGTTTTGTTTAACACAAGTAAAAAGATAAAATTGATGACAGAAACATATTTTTCACCCGCCAAACACTCGACAAGCCATTTATCTATTTGCAAATGTCACTTATAACCGTAATGAAGGAAGTACAAAAATAGATCTCGCAGAAGCTTGCTACTAAATATACGCCACGCCTTGTACTAAACTAGATATGCATTAAAGAATACAATGCTGAAAAAATATCACATCAAAAGTAACTGAATATTTAACTGAAAAATTTTCCTACCACACTAAAACAAAGGTGTCACAAAACAAAGATTACGCAGAGTTAAAACGTGATCTCTTGCTTTTGTTACATTCTGACAGCTACAACTTTTGACTGCACCATTTCTTCGTTGCTCTAATTCTTAACCAGTTAATTTTAGTGTTAATTCGTATTCACTATGTATTATTCACTCAAATTCTTACACCTGTTACACTTTTTGGAGGATCATAGACCACTTATCAATATTTTTCATCCAACTTTATCCTGAGAAATCCTTTCCAGTTGTTTCCAGTTACTATTCATCCTTTTGATGTTTGCTTCCGATTCCCACCGCAGTGTGTTCTATAACCCTTCTCTTCGTCGTTTCCCTTCAGACTTCCAAGTAAGCGCTTGCTTCGTGATGCAGTTTGCCGATTTTTCCAATATGTGTTTTATCTACTTCCATCGTCTTTTCCTAATTTCCTTTTCAGGGGAAGCTGATTTGTTCTCTCCTACAATAGACTGTTGTTGATTGTATCATTTGTTACTTGATTATTAACCAAAACTTGATGATGCGTTTATTTCAAGCAAACGGATAAACGTTGATTTTCAAAACTTTTTTCAAGTAATTCCATAGTTTTGAATCGTATTGTTACTTCACATTGATTGATACATTTATCTATTATTAGTTGACATTTTCTGTTTGATTTCATGTAACTGATAATAAAACAGGATTTTTTTTCATGCAATCAATATGCAATTGATGTTGCAGTTATTTTGCCTGTTCTATTTTATTTTGTATCGTAAAAAGATAATTTCAATATTTGTCCACTTTTTTCATTTGCCTACAAACAAAACTTTGAAGTTACTAAAATCTTCACAAAACCCACTACTGATAACAATCATCATGTGCTCACTGGTGACTGGCTTCAAGAGGTATTTCCTGGAGTTCTAGTGAGAAGCTGTGACCAGTGGACTTCAACCAGGTTTGCTGTGAAATAGTAACTCACTGAAGACAATGGTGGACGTTGGCGCGAATACGTGGATTGGTTAAAGTTCAACAATAACACTATTGGATGCCGGTTTGGTGGTCTAGAGGTTAAGCGCTTGCGCGTGAGACCGAAGATCCTTGGTTCGAATCCCGTGAGCGCGATCATGGATGCGTACTGCTGAGAAGTCTTGTACTAGGACGAAACGGCCGCCCATTGCTTCTAGGTTTCCCATGGTGAATGAATTCAACTATAAAACTATTTTAAATGAAAGAAAATTTATGTATTTCTCTAAAGTCTAAGTTATCTTTATTAAAGAATAATCAATTTGTTCACTGTCCAATATGAATAAGCTATTTAAATATATGAACAATTAGTTCAGCGAAGAGTATGTTTTTTGGGTAAATTCCTTTTTAATGTTATACAATTGTAAATACATAGTAATTTTAAAAATAGCATCCACTCTGTATGTTATTAGTATTGGTAATTCACTGAACCAAGTAAAGGGGAGGTAAGCTAAATAAAAGTACAGAAATGTTATTCATTTTTAGAAATTGTGGATGTAGTTTGCAAAGAATAATTGCTATGGTGGCGCAATATGCACAGGATGTACATATGTTAACTCTATGACTCAATCAATTTTCAATTTCAGTTTTATGACATATTTATTTGGTATATTAAGAACAAGCGGAACGACTGCCATGATCAGCTATAAGATTTTTCGCTTCACGTATTGTGGCCAAAACAGCAGATTCAATTAAATCTGCATACTTATTTAAATCCATATAAAAAATAATCATTATGGCTGGAGAGAATAGAGCAGTTGGATTGGAACGATCTTGACCAGCAATATCAGGATCAGTAGCAATAATTGATTCAAGTATAGCTTCAGTTTCACTAGTTTTCTCGCTTGTTGTAACACCTCGACCCTCATTTAAACAAACAGCCTGATCATTCAATGTATTACCATACCAATTTGGCATAACTAATGCACCGGAACGAGTTGGATCTTGAACAGGATTTAAGCAGACAGTATCCAAAGCATATCACAGAATTCTTCACGACATACTTGAAGGAATTAACCATCTGATATTCTCATAATAATAGCTTTATGCACAGCTATTACACTACGTCGATCATTATCTTTTACATATTGAAATGCAAATCTAGCAACACATCGACGTGCTTTTTCAGAGAACTATTTAATATCTTGTACAACACTATCAGCAATCACATATTCTATACCAGAATATTCACCTTGAGTATTCTCTTTGACTAACCAAACAAACATTGTTATAAGAAGTTTCATACCCTTCAACAGATTTGTATGGTCGAACATTTGTATAAAGTATGGAGTTAATTGGTACAAGGGGAAACCAAATACATATGCGCCACACAATAACAATGAATTCTGTAGCAGTTGTCATTTATGTGTGAGAGGAATGTGATACTGCCCAGTTGTCCAAACTGAAGCAGGGTCCATACATCAAGCCTTTGAACTGAAGGTCTAATCCACAAGGCAGTGGAGTAATTTTGGGCCTTTGACCAACTTACATACTTACGCCTGTTACTCCTCGTGAAGGAGCATAGGCCACTCACCAGCATTCTCCCTCCAACCCTCTCCTGCACAATCCTTTCGCGCTCTTTGCAGTTGTTATTCATCTTTATCACATATGATTCTATTTCCCGACGTTATGTGTTCTTCGGCCTTCCACTTTTCCACTTTCCCTCAGGATTCCACATTAGGACTTGCCTCATGATGCAGTTTGATGATTTGCGTAATGTATGTCCTATCCACACCCATCGTCTTTTCCTAATATCCTCTTCAGCTGGAAGCTGGTTTGTTCTCTCCTACAGAAGGCTCTTACTGATGGTATCCGACCAATGAATGTTGTGTATCTTGCGTAAACAACTATTTATAAATACTTGTACCTTCTTGATGGTGGTTGTAGTAGTTCTTCAAGTTTCAGCTCCGTGCATTAAAACTGTCTCGATGTTCTTATTGAAGATTGTGACTTTGATATTGGTTGAAAGTTGTTTCGAGTTGCATATATTCTCCAATTGTACGAATGTGACCCTTGCTTTGCCAATCCTCGCATTTACATCTGCATCTGAACCTCCTTGTTCATCGATGATGCTTCCCAGGTATGTGAAGGACTCGACATCTTACAGAGTTTCGCCATCAAGAGTGATTGGATTGCTGTTCTTCGCTTCGAATTTGAGGACCTTGGTTTTCCCCTTGTGTATGTTGAGGCCTACTGATGCAGAGACAGATTGCTGCTACACTGGCTGTCTTTATCTGCATCTGTTTGTGTGTGTGGAATAGGAGTACTAGGTCATCTGCGAAGTCCAAATCGTCTAATTGATCCTGAGCTGTCCATTGTATTCTGTGTTTTCCCTCAGATGTCGAGGTCTTAATCATCCAGTCGACCACCAGAAGAAAGAGGGAGGTAGGGAGGGAGTAGATAGCTTTGTCTGTCTCCTGTCCTTACTTGGAATGCATCTGTCAGCTGTCCTCTATGCACGACCTTACACTGTAGTCCGTCGTATGAGTTACAGATAATGTTGACAATCTTCTCAGGAACTTTGTAGTGTCGGAGAAGTTTCCATAATGTTCTCCTATGTACATTATCAAACACCTTTTCATAATCGATAAAGTTGATGTACGGTGACGAATTCCACTCAATTGATTGTGCGACGATGATCCGTACTGTTGCAATTTGATCTGTGCACGACCGATCCTTACGGAATCCAGCTTCTTGATCTCGAAGTTGGGCGTCTACTGCATCTTTCATCCGGTTCAGCAACCTTCTGTTAAAGACTTTCCTTGGTACTGACAGGAGTGTAATGCCTCTGTAGTTTTCACATTTGCCCAGATCTCCTTTCTTTGGAATCTTGATGAGGTGTCCTTCTTTCTAGTCCATAAGCACTTGTTCCTCCTCCCAAATCTTCTTGAACAGAATGTAGTTACTTCGATGTCTGACTTCAGTGCTTCAGGTGGTATATTGTCGGGTCCTGCTGCTTTCCCCCTCTTGATTTGTCTGATGGCCATTCTGATTTCTTCCGTCGTTGGTGGATTGACATCTATAGTAAGATCGGTGTGTGCTGCTTCGATGTCCGGTGGATTCATTGGAGCCGGCCTATTCAGGAGTTTCTCAAAGTACTCTACCCATCTGTTTTGCTGTTGTTGAATTTCTGTGATTGGCCCTCCTTTTTTGTCTTTGACCGGTCTTTCTGGTTAACTATATTTCCCTTCTATTTTCTTCGTTGTATTGTAAAGCTGTTTCATATTTCCTTCTCTTGCAGCTTTTTCCGCTGCCGTTGCTAGTTCTTCCACGTATTTCTTCATGTCGGCTCTAATGCTTTTCTTCACTTGCTTGTTTGCTTCTATGTATTCAGCTTGTGCTTGGACTTTCTCTGTTCGTGTTCGGCTGTTGTTAATTGCTGTCTCCTTGTTCTTCCTTTCTTTGATCCTGTTCAGTGTTTCTAGAGATCCATCCCTTATGATGATGCTTCTTGAGGCCCAGAACCTCTTGACACGTTGAAGTTAATGCTTCTTTGATACCTTTCCAGTTGCCCTCCATAGTAGTTTCTTCTTCCTACAGTAGATCCTGTAAGGCTTGGAACCTGTTGTTGAGAGCTATCTTGAGTTCACTGAGTTTGTCAGTATCTCGAATGAAGGCTGTATTGAACCTTTGTAGTGTTGTTTGTCCACTTGTCCAGTTCTTCTTTAGCTTCAGTTTTAAATTGGCTACAACTAGGTGGTGATCTGAAGCTATGTCAGTTCCTCTTCTGGTTCTCACATCTTCCATTGTCCTTCGGGACATTTTATTGATGCAAATATAATCTATCTGGTTCTCTGTGGTATGGTCCGGTAAGTTCCATGTAGCTTTGTGTATACGTTTGTGTGGAAATATTGTGTCGCCTACGACCAATTTGTTGAATGCACATAGATTTGCAAATCTTTCTCCATTTTCGTTTCTCTCTCCCAATCCATGTCGTCCCATGATATCTTCATATCCAGTGTCGTCTATCCCGACTTTGGCATTTAGATCTCCCATCAGAATGGTCAGGTCCTTTCTTTGGCACTCCTCTATGATTGATTGCAGCCGCCCATAGAATTGATCTTTAACGTCGTCGTTGCTATCATTGGCGGGTGCATAACATTGGATAATATTCATTGTGATCCCCTCCTTCTTTGTTTTGAATGATGCTTTGATGATTCTGGATCCGTTGAATTCCCATCCTACAAGTGCATTTCGTGCTACTTTGGACAGCATTAGAGCAACTCCCTGAGCGTGTGGAGCATTTTCCTCTTCGTGACCGGAGTATAACAGCATTTCTACCGTATCTAGTCTTTGTTGTTCAGCTTGGTTCCAATAGGTTTCGCCGATTTCCAGTACTGCCAAATTGTATCTCGTTATTTCCGTTGCTATTTGACTGGTCTTCCCGGTCTCCCACATTGTTCGGACGTTCCATTTACCTATAAAAATTGTTGCTCTGGTTATTAGAAGGGGCATCGGCCTCGTGGCTTTCAAAGGATGCACGTATGCCAACAAGAAACTGATCAATCGCAGTCCTAAATAACAATATGAAGATACAAAGAAAACAACACCAAATGAATTTAATCAGTTACTTTTTATATCATTTAGTTCATTTGATAAAAATAGGTGATTAATAAATTATAAACTTTGTAATCGGGTGAAGATAATGTACATGTTACACTACTGTAAACCAACTAACAATTATTTCCACTGTCCAGAAAACGATTTCAAATAATTAAGTAGTAAGTCTATAATAACAATGTGAGAATGTATTTTGAGAGTTGATGTGAAAAAAGCTAATATTTTACCAAATTTATTAAATTTCAACATTCGTAATCTAATTCAGTTATTAATTTGTTTATTAAAATATTAAACTTCGGTATGATGGTAAAAGTATGGTACAGAAAAGAGACAATCGGAATCGAGAAAGAGAATTTGAGGTATTCGCACAAGATCCATGAGTCATATATAATGAGCAATAGAAATATCTTTGTGTGTGCTACTTTGAGAGTTCAAAACGATGTCAAAAAGTTCGCCTTAGTAAGGTAAAAGTTAGCGTATTAAATGTGTTAGCTTGTTAATTGTTTTTTTCTTTAAATTTAATGAAACAAACAAGTATACACTAAACCTGAATCATAACCCTAAACTATCAATCCTTAAACAACCAGGAAGCCATTGAAATCATACTTTTTGGCCGAATTAATGATTTAGTGTCTCTTGAAATTTTGTCTGAAATAATTACATCCATATAGCTACGAAACACTTCTACATTGTAGTTGTGGTCAATTCATAATGGAGACCATAACTCCAAATTCCTAAGCTTAATCAAAGACATTGTCGATACTAAAAAAATATTCCGGTTTTGATGTGAGAGTATTTGATGACTGATAATATATATCTGTCTAGGAGAATTTATCTCTTCTTTGTCTACAGTAACCTGTAGAAAATTTTAATGGTCTTATTACTGATGAAAAATCTGTTGATAATTTGCTTTCTCATAAACTATCCATTCACAATCGCTGTTTTCGAATTGGTTGATTATTCGTCGCGGCTGTTTTAAAGTCGTCTCTGTGCTATATTTTTACCGATGTGACATGATAGTTTCAACGAAATCAGTCATATAGGAAGTTGTTTATAAAAATGACCCTATCAAATTTGAATTGTTTTGACGTGCATAAAAATTAGTAATGTCAAAAACACACGATATAATATTTTCATATTCCAACTAGTTTACAAACGATTTCCTGACATTTGATAACATACTTTAAACAACTTCGTCAAAGAAAACTTATTAAGTTTTTCTCTTAGTAAATATTATTAAATATCATTTCAGAAATAGACTATTCGACTGATTACACGCTGATTTTTCATAACCACATAGAGTTTCAATTACGATTTACTATAGCTCGTTAGAGTTGTTTCTAAATAAGACTGGTTGA